TCCATGCTGTAGATTTGCTGCTGAGCTTGGGGTCATTATCCTGTTGCATGGCCTAATTTAGAAGAAGCTTTACCTGTCAGACAGACTGCCTCACATTTGACTCTAAAAAACTTTGGCATACAGAGGAGTTTGTTGACTGCAAGGTGCTTTATTGCTTGTGTCTGCAGAAGAAGCTCAAATCCCCACACTTGAACCAGCATATTTGACAGTGGGTTTGAGGTCTTTAAGTGTTTGGGTGTCTGAAATACTGACATGTGAACGGCAGAATATAATGGTGAGATTTTAGTGCTGGTCAGATTGCATACAGACTGCACATTATCAGCTTTTACACTTTTGCATCTGTGACCATTCAAACACCAGACAGTACTGAATGTTTCTTCTTTCTTTGTGCAACTTTAATAATGTCCATTTTTGGGTTTTGGGTGTTTTAGGGAAAGAAGGGAAGTTTTATTTTTAATGATCAGTGTCAGGGATTAATCACTACAGTGACACAAATAAACTTGAATTATAACCATAATCCTGATTATCAGTCAACACAAAACACATTCAGAAGTCATGTTTTCACAGATTTATTTTGACATTACATCTTATTTCTAAGAGGAACATTCATTAGGCTTAAAACAAAATCATACAAAAGAATTGTAACGCTTGCATATTGTTAACCTAGAAGCACTTTTAGTCTTTGTTAGGTTTATCAAAAAAGAATTTGGCAAACACCCTTTTTTGAATGTCATGCTCTTGCAGGCTGCAGTAACATTTGAGTTTTGTAAGTGCAAAGGTCCATTCAAACAGGTGGTGACATTACAACCCTTGGTTTATGTACATTTGGAGCTTGTCAACATTCAGCATTTCCAAAAGCAGAATAAAAATTTGAAAGCTTGAAGATATATTTACATGTACATTTATTTTTCCTTCCTTGTGGTCATACAAATTTGGCCTCTGATGCTTCTGACTTCAGATGTTAGTAAAAAAAAATTTATTGTTAATTGGACAAAACTGTTTTTTTTAAACATATCAGGAGGTTTATTTTCCCTGACACCATCTAAACACAGCTCCTTTGCAATACTGATCTCTGTAATTTGCCACATTATATTACAGCAGATCTAGAAGCTGTATCTAAATGTCGATTCTCCGTTAATGAATTTGTATAAGGTCAAGTCCTGGATATTTTACTAACTGTAACAACAAACCACTGCTTCCTACTGTATGCATTATAATCTACAGCATCTACAGAGACACCTTCCAACAAACAGCTACACTCTATGATCTCAGTTAAGTTAATTAAAGGTTTGTGCTTTCTAGACATTCCCTGTAATGGAAAGAGTAGAGGGGTGTGGTACTTCATCACGGCCAGAAGGAGGCGCTGTGTAACCATCAAACAAAAGACCCCAGTGTTGATAAGGCAAGGTACTGTACGTTACCACAGGGTATGAGGATACAGGTAGGTGGCAAAAATCAATCAATCCATCATCAGTCACCACAAATCAGAATAAATTTGTTACGTTCATTCAGGTCCTGATGTATTTTTAGCTGCATAAAACTACTGAGAGAAAGATATTAAACAAAAACAAGATAAATCCAAATAGATTCAATTAAATGTCTCTTTTTTTAACCCGTCATGAACTTCAGTGGTATTTTTAAGAGAATAGTAGTAGTTATGAAAGGGTAGTACTTCAGAAAGTCTGAGGATCCATGAGTGCAAGGCCATTCA